TCTGGCAACCAAGTTTCATTCACTGGTTCTAAAATATGTAATAGGAACATTTTTTCAACTCAGGAGGTATTTCTTCATCAACATCCTTAATCACAATCGCGCCAAGTGGTACTGCTCCAACCTGACTGAAATGCAAAAACGTGGTATGCGGGAGGTACGAGAGCTGGCAAGATCGAAAAACATAAGACTATCGGTTAGTGATAAGGGTGGAGAGTTCGTTGTAATTCACCATCATTTAAATGGTGAGATAACGGTAAAGCACCTTGAAGATGTTTCCCTTCATCGTCCGTCGTCTGAGAAGGGATTTAACAGTCAATATCGAAAACTGAACTACAAATGGTTCAAAATGGCAAGGCCCCCAATTGATAGCACTCTTAAAAATGCTTGAGCTGCTCAATTTTCAGATGGTGCAGAAAGTACTACGCTCAAATAAGAACTATAAGAATAAGAATAAGAGTTGGCAATGGGACAACGACTGGCACCAAGTCTTGCCATTGCGTTTATGTCTAAGGTGGAAGCACCAGTGACCGATCTCGGGCCGTTACTCTACTGTAGATATATAGTTGACTGTTTTGTCGTTTGCTCAACACAAGAGGAAATGGACAAATGTCCCGAGTTGTTGAATGGCAGCCAGCGTATATTAAATTCATCAGAGAGAAACTAAAAGAAAACTGGCTCACATTTCTGAACGTGAAAATTAACCTATCAGAAAACGGCTACATTACGAAATGGTATCGAAAGCCAAGTAGTAAAAACAACCTAGTTCATTACCTCCCCTCTCATCCCTCTCACACGAAAAGGGCGCTTATGAGAAACATGTATCGAACAGCTACCAGCGTGTGCACAGGAAGACAACAGAGAGAGGAGACCCGGAACTTGGCGCGGCAAATAGCCATTTTTAATGGCTACGAAACCGTAGCTCGAGATAGGTGTAGAGGAAATCACAGGTACCCCAACGATAACTCTAGCGACAACAAGGTCCCGTTTATACTGCCCTTCATTTCAAATGAAGTAAGTGCAGCAGTAAGCTATAAAACGCTGTTTAAGAAGGGCCAGTCTAGAGAATTCGGTAACGATAATTGAAATGCCACTGAGTAATCTGAGACGCCAGCTAGTTCGTAAACGCCTATACGACCGTCTATGTGCAACGCAAAACTGCATAATTTGCCTCAATGGTAGAGACGGTGAATGCATGAATTCGGGTACAGTCTATCTGATCTCTTGTAAAGCGGAAGAATACGTTGGCGAAATTGGTAGACCAGTCTGCGTCCGTATAAAAGAACACCTAGTCAGCAAACGTAAACCAAATACTCCACTAGGCACGCATAGGACGCAGAGACATGACGGAGAAGATTTTGAAGTAGGGGTTACGATCCTCCCGCAGCAATCGAGAACACAAGCGCGCAAAACTCTCGAGGCATTCGGTATTAATTCCAAGAATCCAAAAATGAGTCACAGGGAGGAATGCCACATTATCACGCGTGACAATGGGCAGTATGTAAGCTTGTTATTTTAATGAGATGGGCACATTACGATTCTGTGTGAACTCTGTGCGGTTGGTCTCCACGTGACATATTTAGTGGAAGACTCATAGAAAGCGGTGAGTGTGCAAAGACTCTGTGTTCAATGTGATTGAAATTTTGGTTCGGCATTTTCTCTGTTTGGTTATGGAGGTGTTTGCCCGTGTAGATTGCAGTCAACACGATCTTGCCACAGTTATCATCAAAACTTTAATAAAGCAATGAGATGTTTGACCGCGTTCTTTGTAAGCACGGATCTCCAGCTTAGTAGTTCTAGCTAACTCAGAATTGCCCTGAGTTTTTAACAACTTCTGCACACTCGTTCTATATACCTACGCTCTATCGGGGACCCTTTTTAGGATCAATGGAATAGAGACCACGGTTTTTGCTACTTTGAGCGATTAATACCTCTAAGGACATCTCAATGGTTTACTGCCTCATCGTGGGTGCGAGGTGTTCCTGGCTGTCGGACTGCGATGTACAGCAGTGGGATTCGGCAAGGTCACCCAAGCTGAGAAGGAGTCTGGTGTTTCCACCATGAAGCCTAGTTAAGAGCAAGCCAATAGCAGGATCCATCACCGTCCTGGTATCAAAGTTGCATGGTGGCATTTATCCCTCTGATTCACAAGGGCTGCGACCGCCTGTGGTGGTGAAGACCTGGGGCAAACTTTGACCAGGCTGACCTCGGGATTCCACGGTACCACAATACCTTGACCACTGAATCTTCGAAAAATGGTGAATATGCTGGGACTCGCACAACTAGTGAGCACGATCCGTTCAATTATCAAGTACTTTCAATACCACTGAGGACGGGATGTAAGTGCAGCGGTTAGGGATGTCGTAGAACACATGCACGGCTACTAGCTCAGCTCCAGCCGAGCTTAACCAAACCCCGCCGCGGGAACGAAAAATTGATACTGGAGTTACCCGAGAACATCACATTCCAATCCATGAAAAACAGCTATTGTCTCTGGTGAAAACATGGAAATAGTTATAGCAGAATTATGATGCGTACTCTATAATGCTATTGATCGCATGATTAACATTTATAACATCTTTGTTGGGCCGGACATGTAATGCGTATGAATGACAACCGATGGACAAGAGCCGTTAGTGACTGGATTCCTCGGGATGTCAGGCGTACTGCAGGAAGACCACCGACTCGATGGTCAGAGTTCTTCACGAAAAGCCGAGAAAAAAGATATGATGCTCGACGAGTCCCTAGAACGAGCAAAACCCATTGGGCTACACTTGCAAGCGACAGGGAAAAGCTTATCACATAGACATCAACCATCACTCCGGACCGCAGGTGTATGCGGTGGGCAACGAACACGCGCTGTTGTCCATACCGGGGAGCAGCGCACTTCACCACCACACCAACCGGGTGACCCGCAACATACCTTGCCATTGAAAAGAAAAAAGGCAGTAAATAAGAGGGTTAAGATTGTGATTATAACTAGGCCTCAGCTTAACTGGGTTCAATGCCGATTTGGACTCCCCAGATCAATCCCGTTGACGGGTGATTGCTGATGGCAAAAAAGATCAATAGAACTAGCTGAGAGACAGGAAAAACGAAGGACCCGGATGGTGTGGTGGTGAAGTTCGCTGCTCCCCGGTAAGGACAACAGCGCGTGTTCGTTCCCCACCGCATACACCTGCAGTCCGGAGTTTTGCAAATATCTCAGCATTATATGCGAGTAATATTGTGTTTATTTTTATGTTAGATCCTCATCAATACTACCCATGTACTCTACTTCATCAAGCCGTTAAAGATGACCGAATGCATATCTGGCATATAGAATGACATGCGGTGCCCGACCGGTGTATCAAGTCAGTGTTCCGATCCTCCCAAACAAGTCTGGTACGTATTTGCCGAACCCTGAGGGATAAAACGCTTGGTGAGCCGGTAGCACGGGATCGAAACCATGTTTATTGCGGGCACCTCTAACTACTGCGCTACACGAGCATTCTGTAAAGACTTAGATACGATTAATAAACTGGTAATTTTGGCTACTGTACATTATGTAGGGCACCCATGTCAAAACTTTCTCTCCTTCGGTTAGTAATTAATGTAAAAAAAAGAATATTAGAAGATATTTTTAAAAATTCAGCAACAGGAAATTCAACAATGAAACAACATACAAAAAACATATTTATGGATGTAGTAATATATTCACAAACTAAATCCACGAAAACAAATTTTGGTGAGCATCGCTAACTGCAAAGAGAATAGGAGAAAACATGTAACACCAGTAACTGGTAAAAAAAATATTTGATCATCAAACATCCCCCAACTCCTTCTTGATAGGCTTCAGTGCATACATTTTAACTTTATACATACCCTTAGGAAAACCTGTCTGGACATTCTCAGTCACTACTCTTAGTTTCGATCTTTCGAACAGTTGTAAAACAAGCTTCTCTGGTCGAGTCCAACTATTATCTTCGCTGTCGAATTCGGATTCTTGCTGAGCAGAGAGATTATCCTTGAACACTATTACGCCATTCTCTGTGAGTCCATCCTTGAAAGAACAAAACGAAATGTGGTGGCCCTGAACTCATTTAGGAAAAAAAGAATACCATATTGTTCTGCACAAACGTACTATGCAACGGGATAGGAAGTTAACCATGTCAGAATCTGTCAAATGACCAGAACACCACTGAATCCAAATCATATCAAAGCTACACATATCAGGATAGAAATTTTGCAGTCCAACTTTCACTCTCATTACATTGCCATTGTCAGCTGCAAATTTCAAAACAAAGTAAAGCAGTGAAGTAAATCAAAAAAGAAAGAAACTCACCTACATATGAAATACTCTTTTCAAGCAATTCCGCTACAGGCTCCACCATTACCACACTGTTAAAGATAGGCAACAGTAAATGACGAGTAACCCGCCCAATACCAGCTCCACAATCGGCTACTCGATTCGTGTTAACAAGCAAATTCTTTAAAGAAACAGTAGTAGAAAGCATTGAGAACTATGGAAACACTTTTAGGGAATGAACTACACACCTTTTGGCTATATTTTAGAGATCTTATCAACAAAACTAATCCCTTTTTCAAATAATACAACAGTAGAAATAGGTGCCTCCCAATGGTTCACCGCCTCATCATGGCTGGGAGGTGTTCTCGGATGTCGAGTTGCCAGGTACAGCACGGTAACTTGTCCCCTGCAGGGCCCCTCAAGCTGAGAAGGAGTTCGGCGAAGCCCAGCTAAGAGTAAACCAATATCAAGATCCAACACTGTCCTGGTACCAAACTAGTCGCGTGGTGGCAAATCTCCCTCTGATCCACAAGCGTTGCGACTGCTCATGGTGGTGACGACCCGTAGGAGACTTTAGCTAGGTCGACCTCGGGACTCCATGGAACCACAATGGCTAGGTCAGCAAATCATCGGAAAATGAAAATTATGCTGGGGTCCAAATAAGCATTCAAGACGGGCCATCCACGTATTCAAGGACATACTTGATACTTGAACAGCCCGTCCTCACTAGTTGTGTGGGTTCCAACATAATCACCATTTTTCAGAGATTTGCTGGTTAAGACATTGTGATTCCCTGGAATTCCGAGGGCAGCCTGGCCAAAGTCTGCCCCCAGGTCGTCACCACGACAGGCACTTGCAGCCCTTGTGGATCAGAGGGAGATTTGCCACCATGAGACTTTGATATAAGGACGGTGGTAGATCCTGGTATTGGTTTACTCTTAGCTAGGCGCTTCCTGATGGAAACACCGGACTCATTCTCAGCTTGGGAGACCCTGCCAACGGGAAGAATCCCCTGTTTTACATCGCAGTCCGACACCCAGGAACACCTACCATCCACGATGAGGCGGTAAACCGTTGCGAGGTTCAAGTAAATGAGTAGAAATAGGTGAAGTATACACAATCGATGTGGGAAACAGGTTAATGAACTTTTGAGGTCCTAATATCGGTAAGGTCTGCGATCAATATTTTGTCAAAAGAGTGGAAACAACGAAGCAGAATTTATAAGAAAAACGATCTAATAACCGCCAATATCGTACGGTCAAGGCCGCGTGTAGCGCCGTGATCGGAGACACCATGCAATAAACTTGGGATCGATCACCGAGCACAAGGTTCAACAAGCTTTCCATCTTTCCGGGGTCGGCAAGTTGGTACTAAACTTGTCGGATCAGCACTCAGAGGACAGCAGCACTCGCCCGATAAATCGGTAGGCAACCGTGAGTCCTTGTAAAGGCCAGATATGCATTCAATCACCTCCAACGATGCTCAATGAAATCGAATGCATGGCGCATCCACGGGGGATTGGTCAGCTCCGAGCTTTATACTTTTGTCGTATGGGTAATTGCTATACTTCGAACTGATCGGATACTTTCAAATAGCTCCATAATACGTTCACCATTTCTCAAATGGGTACACATGGTGAAAAGAAAATAGCTTCACTAAAGAGATAAGATGACCACCTTATCACATCATGAAGAAAAGAGAGAAAAATGAGCTATAAATAGTATAAAGAAATCGAGAAAAAGAAAAGATGGTTGGAGGGTTCATGGATTGAGATTAATTTACCCATTCCCTCGCAGAGCCTTTCTTCGTGGCTGGCTCAGTTGAAAACGACCAATTGTTTGTTGACTGCGGACATTTTGGTTTTTTGACAATGAGAAATCTTTTCTATACAATTAGAGTGGTTTAGCGGTTTCGATCACGAGAAAATTGCAGAACACACGTTGCTCTACCGTTCTATGACTATGAATGGCATATATGCTTCTATGTACTCCAGGTTATTATAATCCATATTGCAAAGCTACTGATGCCTGATTCTGAAAGTACTTTCCTGTTTAAGATGAGTCTACTCCGGTGTTTCTCATATCCGCACATCCCATACAACGGCCAAAGTGATTAAAATAAATTAGCAGTTGATTGTTAGCCCAGATGCCGTTCAATGAACTTTCCTAACTTGCTGGCCTTCCTAAGCCTGTCAATGAACTTTTTCGAAGAAAAGTTTTTTGTAAAGCATTAAGTGTAGAGAATGGCTTCTCTGGTTTCACCGCTCTCAGTTTCATGTTCTTTCGATTAGCTATCAAGTAAGTGTACAGAATACGGTAAAAATAACTCTGGAAGCCTCTGAATTGACTAGGGACACTATGGTGTCCATAAGGGGCGGAATGGGATAATAGTGACATAAAACCATTACACTGCATTTGTTGAGTTCTTTACATTAACAACGGTCATGGATATTGAAGTCAACAAAGCAAACCTGGAAGTTTCCGACAAATGTCAGCATTCGAGGAGCAAAGGGTGAAGCCATACCTTTTTCCTCAATTTATCGATGAAAGCCTTCGAGCATTTAATATCGGGTGTGTGTAAATGAGCGAAACCTCCAAGCATGCCGTCGATATCCTTGCTTGTATTTGACCAGAACTCCTCAGCCTGCAAAATACAATGTTTGTACCTAACTATTTGTACAGAGCACTGCTTGAGAATTCCTGAATATGGATCTCGTAGAAATATCGTCTAAAACTGGAACTACGACAGATCCCGAGTGACGAAATTGCTAAATGATCGTTCATATATTACGGAAATGCCCAAAAACTAAGTAGGATTGAAAGACAGAACTTTTCATACGCTCAATTCCGCTTTAATCAATCAACCCATAAGTCAGTACCAATCGATATAGAATAAATCAAGCTATTTCATATACCTCGACTCAACTGATGGATTTAGAATGAAAACAACACTTCCCTCTCCCCCAAGGCTATTAAAAACAGTCATAAAACGATGGCAAATAGCTAATGAATAGAAAAAACGAGACATCCTCACTGCATTTGGATGAGGAATAAACGAGGTAGAACACACCTTTCTATAGACGTCCTCAGGATCTGCTGGATCTGATTTCGAAATAATTCGTGCCATACGAATGTTCGGTCGGCAAAGACGACTATCCAGCACTACGAGGAATATCCTTCTTTCTCAGATTTTAACAAAACTAATTTCAAGAGTTACAGAGGAGAAAGGATGAAACCCACTTACACATTCTTATTAATATGACCATCCCCTTTGCGGTAATGACGTTGGTGCTTGATTTCTCATTAGGTCATACTTCTCGAAAGTTTGGGCAAGAAGTAATTTATATGATACGCTTAAGGTAAGAGGTTTTGCAAAAATCCATGGATCTACTGGGAACATTCCACGTTTTTGCAGTGGAGAATTCTAGGAGGGGATTTGATAGCAAGATGAGAAAGCACATGTCGTGATAAATCGACACAGCGAGCATACGGTGACGTTGTGACAAGTTAACTGAGAAAAACAAAAAAGGAGTGCTGCAAAGAACCAAAACTTCAATGTGGATTTCATTTTTTGTCCCCAGTCCACATAAAACTGAACTGCACGACACTTCTGTGAAGCGAACGTATCTTTAGCTTGAAAGACTAACGATGCTCATCTCCAGAGATAGGGTGGCGACGGAAGTCTCCAGGTTCTACGTGGTCGCTGTCTTGAAGGCAGTGATTTGGAATGGGAATGAGCTCACTAGCACGTCCCTACCTTATGTAGATGAGTTGTTAATCCAACAAGACATCAAAAAGCTGCTTTTCTAATAATACTTTGACGTTTTCGACAAGCACCCGACCTAAAAGCTTCGAAGCACGAACGACTTCGAGGGCAGTGAACTACTTGATTCTTCCATACATGCTGCTTTTCCAATCGCATAACTTTGTCTATGTGTTAGAGCCATCACTAAGCTAAGTGACTTTTCCTCTCGCCGTGTTCTTCATTATGGTTTAATAGTTATTGCATCCTCCCAACGGTTTACCGCCTCATCGTAGCTGGGAGGTGTTCCCGGATGTCGGGCTGCGATGTAAAGCGTGGAGGTTCATCCCCCAGAAGGGTCTCCCAAGCTGAGAACGAGTCCAGCGTTTCCATCAAGAATCCAGCTAAGAGTAAACCAATACCAGGATCCACCACCGTCCTTGTATCAAGCTAGTCATGTGATGACAAACTTCCTGTGATCCACAAAAGCGACATCTGCTCGTGATGGCTGCGACCTGGGGCGGACCTTGCCAAGGATGACCTCTGGGCTCCAGGAAATCGCAATGGCTAGACCAGCAAAACTTCGAAAAACGGAAATTATGCCGCGGCCTGCACAACAACTGAAGATGGGCTATCCAAGTATCCAAGTAAATAAGTTATTGCATCTGTAACTTCTGAGGCGCAAGCATACGGCAGTTATTTTGGATATTTACTTGACCAATTCCACAGTTATCAGAGCTCTTTTTTTTCTAAGCAATCGGCCTTTTAATAAAGACGGGAACAGTGGCGGTAAGAAGAATACCGCACACTGCAAATTATGAGAGAATTAACCTTTGTCATCCTGTGTGAACTATGTGTGTCCTGGCGGAATTATCAGTTATCTCGCTGATTCATGACCGTCTTAAAAAGGGGTGCTCTTTTCGTTGTTGACGTTGTCTGGCATTAACGACGAAAATGACAACGCCAGAAAACGAAGGCTAAGTAGGAAGGTCCAACCAGTGTATGCTCTTCTTAGACTAGTAAAGACCTATCGACGGCGAATAGGTTTTGTGTGATGCTGTTGCTTTGGTTCCTTCGCCTTTTATTAGAGTATCAACAGAAAGAAGACGACGAGAAGTTGTATAGTGGTGATAGCAGATAAAACTACAGTCGAGTAGATTTCGCATGTGAGACGGAACTATCGGAAATCAACGAATGCTGCCAACGTGAATCGTGTTGACGTTGTTAAATGATTGCTTTAGGCTGTAGTGTTTATCATGGTGGCTAAATAGTAGTCTCAGTAGGCTTCCTTCATTCCAGATACCGTGTGGAGTACTCCGTGCTATAAAACTGTAGTCGAAATTACTTGCGACGTGTCCATGCTGTTGCTTGTGAGGCCGTGATCAATCTTATTTGGGTTGTGACAAGACGCAAACTCTACTGGGATGGAGGCTCGTGCTTCTCAGTGATTGACAAACCTAAAGTTGATACACATGAGTTCATTCGTCTTATTACTATGTTCATTAGCGCCAACTGACTGCGTACATCTTGAAATAACGCGCCGAAGACTGGTTCCCAGATTGTATGCGTGTACACAGATCAGAACTTCTAAATATCTGGAAATTCTACGCGACTGAGTCCCAACCTTTTTCAGCGATATCAAACTCGGCCTGTGTAAAGTAAATACGCCGCTAAGATAGGGCGTACGACTTTATGATAGTCTGATAGGTTGATACTAAACTTTCCGAAAGAGTATATCTCACTTTATACTAACTGATTTCACGTGTTGGTGGAATGAGCTGAATCTGCAGTAAGTTGTTGGTGTTGTTTATCGCCGCATGATCATCGTTGCAACACATCATCCACACTATGGCGAACGAAAAGTGTTGGAATGTCTTTTGATATGGACCGAGAATAAACGAACACTGTTGACGAGGAAATCGCTAACTGTTGCGCGCTGAAGTTTAAAAGAGCTTCTTTGTGTAACGCAGTAGATATAGATGACCGACAAGACACACGGGGTTGGTGGTTTGAACTCTCCACGCAGTCACCATGCCTTCTATTCCTATGGAATCATTAAATTGGTGCAAAACTTGTCTGAAACAGCAAAACACTGTCACGTAGGCCACAGCAAATCGTTGTACAGACCAGATTTGCATGAAGACATCACTCAGGAATTGATGACATGGAACGCTCCACCATTTACCTGTATTGAATGCGCTGAACTGTTTTCATCGAAAGGTCACTTCTTCAAGCTCTGGTGACTTCAACCTTATTTGTACAGGCTTTTTTTTTTTACAACATACTACTTTAAGAACCATAGCGGTTCACAATAAGACTACAAAAGATATGATCTAGTTGTGGTTCTTTGCGAGAAATTGGAACTACCCGCAATCTTTACAATTTGGGAGTTTAACGCTCAATTTATCTTCATCATAACCTGAAGCCATATGAACTGTGAAAGCGAAAACTTATGTATCGAAGTCATAGAAAAGGAAAAATTGACATATGGCTTACTGCTTCACCTGTATAACGACGAAATGAAGCGCCAATTGGTCGCTTGTACGTTCGTAATACACCCTTCCGATTCTGTCGAGTTTCAATTGTTCTTTAAGCTTCTCATAGAGAAAACGGTGTGAAGTGCTTCCTGTTTTCCCAACACGTGGCCTTCGAATGGATTTTCTTACGTGGCAATCATTTAGTCAAGAGAACACTTGCATACCACTTATCGGCATACAAGTGACTTCCTTAGAACGAACAGTGGTTGATGAGATCCGTTAGTGTTCACTTTAGGTTATGCCCCTACCGGCACACTATGACCCTGTATGTGCAGCCGCCTTTACCACACAACTTGAATGCTTTGTCACAATATCTGCACCTTTAATGTGGTATGTATAGCCGTTATGCGACTCTTCCCTAACAGGCAAGACGGTCTTATCAATAGTCACGCTCCCGTCAGCTCTGTAGATTTCCTGACAATTTATGGTGACAAGTAGAGAGGAGCGGCGGCCTGATCTCAGATAATTTATATTGCTTGCTGTAGCACGCATTATCGGCAAACTGGAGGTCAGCCTGAAACGTTTGTCCCTAGTCGTAAGAACGGATTACTGGATAGCTTTCAGTATGTATTACCATCCTCTTGTCTAATTCAGTATCAAGTCGTAAATATCTTTAAACACTTTTTAAGTCCTCGTTTTAATTTAACGCTTCATTTTACTGCTCTTTTCACTGTATTTTGAAAGATTGTCGAGCTTGAGTTTCCTTGTGATCATGTGGTAACGATAGTAAATGCTCCAAGGTGCTCACCATAAACAGGCGTAGCCTTCGTTAAGTGGAAGTAGCAGTTTTATGTGAACAAAATCACGAATACCACCTGTTTACACTACGTTATGGTGTGAGAACAATATGCGTTTTGTTTTGACGGTATCGTCTGTCGCAAACGTCACCTCAACATTTCGTTTAGTAATACGAAACCAACGAATTTCGCAAGGATTTTGCCCCTCATTTGACCCAAATCATAACATCCAGTCGAGACCATCCCATAAAACATGGTCCAGTTAAAACAAATATACAATCTACTATATAGTTGTAGCAGATCCAGGAGCCACAATCGAACCCATATACGAATTTGACCGCCTATATAGGCACCGATGGCGAGGCAACGGGACAAATGAAACGAATAGAGGTTACTGCATGGGCATGCGATGACGGATCATCTAATTGTTTACGTACTAAGCTAAATTCCGAGTTTTACACTGTTTATTGTTTCTTTAAATGCACTGACTCATAGGTGTTTCAAAAAGGTGGGATGTTAGTTCAAGGAAAAAAGTTCTTTTTCTGGTGAAAGCTTTGAGTACTGATTGCCACGAACGGCTGTGAGTGCATAGTGGTTAGAGCTTTCCTACAATGCTCACCGGGAAGAGGAAATCGGTGCCAAGTTTATCTGGGAGGATAGCAGTACTGACTTGGTATTGATACAGCAGGTCATGGTATAGGCCGGATATTCATTTGATTAGCCCTAAAGAAGCTTCACGAGAGCAAATGCATGGTGCATCTCATCTAATCGAAAATTAATCAGCGCCAGGAGCTTTACAAGGCTTATAAGAGTTATCAGTTACCATATAATAAGAAAACTTCTTTCAGGGATTTGTGCATATGTGAAATTGCATGGAATGTCACCGGGTGCACAAGCAGGTATAATGATGATCTTCACCATATTCCACTTCGAAAATATGCGCTCTTGTTTCAGTCCTAGCTAGTTCACAGCATTTGTCTTTCTTCCTTCTAGAACTCTCTTTGGGGGTGGAAAATTCCCTCATTATCAATAAAGCCTGATAGCTGTGTTCCTAAATACCCATTTGTTCCTTGGTTTTAAAATAAAATACAACCGATCTGGTAAAGAGTTC